AATTTAATAAATTATAAACTTCATTCTTTTGTTTTTCAGTAAATCGATAATTATCAGCAATACCAAGTTCTTTTTTTAATATAATAAATAATTCTCTTTCTGGACATAAATCATCAATATCATTTGAAATATATCTTTAAGAAAATAAAAATTTTATACAACAACATAAATCATTTTTCTCATAACAAACTTGAATGCAGCCGTTAGAGAAAGAAAACCATGATGTAATAAATCGATAATACCATTTTCAATATTACTAAAATCTGATTTTGGTGTAATTGATCTTTAAAAAAAAAACACATATTTCGATTAATGACACCAAGCTTTCTGTTTTTTTTTTTACTTTTCTTTAGTAAATATATTAAGGCTATGAGCAAGAAAACTTGATTCTGATCGATCTTGAAAATATTTTAAAAATGCATTATAATCAATCATATTTTCATTATTGATAGTTTTTGATGTTGTACAATGATGTCTAAACAGAAATTATCAATAGAAAAAAACATATTGTTTAATATTTGTTGTTGTTGACTTTGTTTTTTTTTCTGTATATACTTTTGTAAAAATTGATCGATATTATCAAGTGAAAGTGGAATATCAAATTGATTGAGGGCAGCAATAAGTTGTTGTTTACTTATGAAATTTGTTTGATTTGAGTCCAAATATGCAAAAACGGTTTTCAAACAGAAATAACCTTCATTTACCTAAAAATATTAATTAATAACACTTAAAATATTCTATATTTAAATTAGATACAACTAACAGAGGAATCTCTTCAGCTATTCGCATTTAATTTCATTGATTTTTTCATCTGTAGGTACTCAATAGTTTTCTAATAAAATCCTAAAAGCATTTGATCGTGTAACAATAGATTTGGAGAAAAATAATGTCTCCTCTATGCATCAGGACTTTTTTCTCCAACTAAAGTAATCGAAAATAGATCATGTTCAGAGATTTTAGAGATCCATGGTTCGTGCTCTCTCAGCAACGTTGGAGTGAGAAATAATCATTACAATCAGACAGAATTTTACATACACAGAATAATCGTAGTGCCAGTTTTTCTATTAGGGATTTTCAGAGTTGTTTTTAATACAAGTATTAACTAATAACGAAAAACTTTTATTTACATGACATTTGGTGTATAATACTTCAAAGTAATATTAGTGATGAAAAAGCAAAAGTAAAAAACAATCGATTTTAACATTCGGAAAGGAGTCGCTACCATTCAAACAGATTTGTGGGATTTCTTACTATTTATTATCTACCTAAACTGATTATAATATGCATAAAAAATAACATTTATTTTTGTATCTACCAACGCACACCCAAATTTTTATCTTACATAGGGTTTTTCAAACGAACACATTGGATCTGCTTTTGGCCTCCATCTAACTTTTTCTCACTGAACTAAAAGTTTTTGTAGAGATACTTTAAGCTATAGCTCATAAGTGACTTTAATCTTTTGCAAAAATCTCGGTTTCCTTTTCTTTAAAACAGAAATGGGTAAAGATTCGACTTTAAAGTCGGGGTACTGGAATTCAGAGCTCTATAAATCTGGATAGAAAGGTCAAAAAACGATAACCTCCGAAGAATACTTCGAAATATCTGTAGTTCATTGAATTTGATATATGAATAATCACATAAAGATAACGAAGTCTATCATGAATCTTTCATATTTGATATCAAACAATTTAAAATAAATCTATTTACTTTTCGATCAAGAAATGGTAAAAATTCATCAGTTTCATGTAATTGTTTAATCATTTTTCTATGTTGTTGTACCAATGTACGAAATTTTGTACTTAATTCTCTTGTCGATAAATTAATAGATGATGAAATTTTATTCGAATTTTCATCATCATCATTAATACACTGTTCATTTGAAGTTCTTATTGTTTCATCTAATGATTCACCTAAGGCTGTTGGTGGTGGTGCACTATGTTTAAATTGTCTATCATTTTCATTACATTCTCGATTTCTATTTGTTAATAATTGTCGTTGTTTTCTTGATGGTGATGATCCACTTATGACAGTTGATGTTGAAACTCGTCGATCAACAATTCCAGCTGCACCTGAACGTGATACTAATCGTTGAATATTAGCATCAATTTCATCAGCAAGATTAACACGATAATTTAATAAACGAAGAAATACATTTGTTCGTACCGTACCAGAATTGTTAAGATCGAATTTAGACCATAATTTTTCAAATTCATGTTCATTATCAATAATATCATCTAATTGAAAATTTTCTAAAATTTTTTTCAAATGCTCACGTATAATAACACCATCATTTAAACAATCATATGGTAAATAATCATTTGGTGTAAATGATCTAAAGATAAAATTAATATTGGAAAAATCAAAATATCTTCATTGATTTTCTATTCTTTTATTAGTTCGGTAAAAAAAAGAGCACAGGTATGATCGAAGATCATTTTGCGTTGAAAACGTGAAAATTAGAAAAATATCCATTTTTCTTGCGATAGACTTTATAAAAAACTTTACTGTATCTTTCAATATATTTAATAAAATTTTGTGACATGCCTTGAACAAATTCCATATGAGGTTTGTTTCGTTTAAAAAATTTTCTTGAGTCGTTTTTTCAGGATTTTCTTATAACTCAATAGTCAAAAGCTAGATAAAAATTCTCATTCTAATACCTTCCTTCGTAAGCAGTAAAGAAAAGTGCCAGCACTTACGGATCTCGACATCGTGCTTTCATTAATGAAAAACAATAATTAGCAGTAAGTTTAGGCAAATTATGTTTATGATATGATTGTTGAGAAGAAGCTGCATTTTGACTTAAGGTTAATAATGAAGAACTACGACGATCTATTTGAGCTAATGATAATTCACGCTTAACTTTCTAAAAAGAAAAAAAACCAAACAAATTAATAAATAATATAATATGATTTTCTAACCTCATTATCCGGAAAATATGAAAGAAATTCTTGAAATGTTATAGTATCATCACGTTCGTTCATATGAAACCTAAATTTTGATCATTATTAGAAAATTAAATCAAAATTTTCATCATAAAAGAAAAAGCAATAAACTTACATTTTACATACTTTTTCCCATTCTTCAGCATTGATATAACCACACAATTGCATTAATACTCGTCGAAATGCTTCTCTAATATATAATTAATAAAAAAAAAAAAAAAAAAAAAATATTACATCGATCTTAAAATTTGTTTGTTTACTTAGATAATTTTCCTTCTTGATTCGGATCATTCGAACGAAACATATGACGTACACCATGAACACCTGTTTGTAATTTTCGATCGATTAAATGAAAGATCTTTATATGAAATAAAAATCAAATCATGTGTAAAACAAAGGAAAAGATTTTGTACTTCGTCTGATTTTGCTGAACGAACTTTTGTTGGTATTTGACGGCGATCATATTGTTTTTCTATATAAAACAAATTTTATTTTCACCAAAGAAAATAAAATAATCATTCATACCTCCAGAAAATGCTGACGATCTGACTGGTGATTCATGTGAATAGATTGGTTTTAATTGCTGATTTCGATTAAATTCTTCACCAATAACTGTTCGTTCACGACGTAATAGAGGAATACTCTGATGAGGATGAACTGATCGTCGAAATTTTTCGTGACATATATCACCGGCAGAATAAGAAGCCGATACTGAAGTTGCCATTTGTATATGACCAAAAAGACAAACCAACTTTTCTCTTAAATGAAACAGATTCAATACTTATAAAAAAAGTAACAAATCAACTGTTTTGAAATATGTCATTACGACAAAATATCTCTTTTTGCAAATGCATTGTTTTTTCTTTTGTTTCTATGGTAAGGTAAAAAAAAGAAAACAGGTTTTTATGAGTGAACATAGATTCGTTGTTACTAATGTACACTCAAGTGACAACTACTTAATAAATATAATAAACTATGTCTACAACTAAAAAAAAATATTGTGACCATACTTCTTCTTAGAAGATTTAATCATCTAAGAGATCAACAATATGTATATTTGTCATTGTGAAATTAACTTGCTAAACACCATTCAGTTCTTTTTATTTTACATAATGTTAATGTTCATCAAATGTATGATTTCAATCAAATAGTAAAATTTCAGATATTTATCTTACTAGATTGAGTTATTAGAGATATATCATTAAATGTATAATTGACGAATTGTATTGAAAGAAATATTGAAAATATTTGATCAATTTCATTGATGAGTTTTTTTCATAAATCATTACTTTCTATCTCATGATTCGAATTCAGAATCATCGACTCTTCTGTAATATTACATTCTATGTCAATTTTATACATATATCAACACTTACCACAATGAAATCTTCTGAAGAGAAAAAGAAAAAATTCAAATCCTTGACTTTTTTCTTAAAAAAGCTTTCACCTAGAGACAAATGTTTATCCTTCGCAAATATTAATCAATCTTATTTCAAACATTTCACTAATCTTAACTGAAAACTACTGACATATCTTTATTAATTCCTGTCTTTTTAAGTTATATTATACTTTGAAATAATTCAAAAGAAAACAAGTTAAATTAATTAATACGAAATACCAACGTTCTTAATTGATAATAAATGCAAACAATTATAAAATTAAATATTCGTATGTAACTATTATTACAAATTAAATTATTTATCAATATATAACTTCTATTTTGCTACCTAGACACACCCTTCATAATGAAACATTTGTTTTTTACTCAAAAAAAAAAAAAAAATTTTTTTTTTCTAAATTGAAAATGTCGAAGTGTGTTGAAAATAAAATATGTGCACACATATAATCAATTAACCAATTATAAAATTTCTTTACTAGCGCTATGTGTTACATCTTTTCGCATATGCTTGTAGCGCTTGAAAGAAAAAAAGTAACGATGGTTGATTGATTTCATTTTATTTTATTTTGATTGTTTTTTATTATTTACTTATTAAAACAGAATATTCAATAAATAATTATATGTTAAATAAACTATATTGATGTTTATTATAGATGGATTCTTCATCTTCACCACCTGTGCTATACTTAGGAGACGATGATGATGATGATGATGATAACAATTATCATAGACAAAATTCATATGTCGAAACAAATATGTCGTTAATGAAAACATCATCTTCGAATGATATGAATATATCACGTAAAAAACGAAAAGTAACAAATACAAATGTTCGTATTAATCCATCTATTGTAAATTGGTCCAAACGTCAACGAAATGATCATAATCAACAACAAACATCAAGAAATTTTATTGATTCAGATCTAGATCCTGAACCAATTTTACTTGATCCAGATGAATATATTATTGAAGAACCTGATCCACCTGCTTTTTGTTCTTTCGATTGGACTATTCAACCACCGCCACCACCATTGTTACCAACTAAAATATCTTCAAATCATCCTATTCAAACAATATCAAGAAGTTCTACTAAATCAACTTCAAATATGAACAATATAGTACAACGTTCAAACGATAGAGTAGATGATACAAATTCAAATCATCAATTTATTCAACAACCAAGAAAACCAATTACTATTCCAGTACAACAACCATCATCAACAGCACTTGCTTCATTACCTTTCTCTAAACCAACAACATCATTTTTTCGACCAAATGTACAACGTGGTCGACCAGTGAAAAATTCTCGAATTTCATATACACAATCTGTAAGATTAAGTTCTTTTTTGTTTGTTGTATATTAAGAAAAATAATAATCTTTATAAGATAGTTCATTTAGTTTTTATCATTTATATACATCTTAAAGATTATTTTTCTTTCTTTTCTTTTTTTCCTATTCATGTCAGATATGAATTAAAAAGTCATAAAAAACAAGTAGAGTCATTCTTGTCAATTTTTATTGCTTTCTTATGTCAAAAATAGACTGTATTAATCAGGCTATTATTTAACATAAAATTTATGACACAGGAATAAACATTCCCATCAAAAATATGAAATTAATATCTGTTTAGTTTCGATCACATAGAAACAAGCTGTCAGATAGATTAAAATGTAAAACACGATGGATATGCTGATTTTATAAAAGGGAGAAAATGTTTCCATTTATGAATTTTCATCTACTGTTAATACAAGATATTAATTGCAATATATTACTGTGAGTGTCCAAGAAAAGTAACAGAACATCTATCGAACAAATCTTGCAATAATATTTATCACAGCGAAGTTTGTCAATTTATGTTTTCAAAATTTGAATAGAGAGCAAGGTCGAAATATAGTAGAAACATTGCATCTTTAACTCAAGCAAAATAAGTTTGCCGTCACAGGGTTAAGGATATCTGTCACATCTGTGATAAGCCCGTTGCTAAGGCATCTGTGGAGGATCCAAATATTTACCTCATACTTTAACATTCTTTTTAGATCATATTTCATAAAACGAATAAATTCAGTTGTATATATGGTATAAATTACGATAGATCTATTGTGAGATATCCTTCTAACTATGACTGAAAAAAGTATCTGTGATGAATGTTTTAAGTCTACTATGTTGTTTCTCTACTATTAGCATGCATGATTAAAGATGTTTATCAAGCTATTCCTTAGATCATGAAACTGACATTGATATACATTTATGTTTTTATTTTGAAATACAATCTACTTTTTCTTTTTTAACTGAAATATATTTAGAATCAGTCGTTGGTCGAGAATTTAGAGAACGGACATCATGGTCACAAAACATGTGTTAAAATTGCTATCGGTTGATGTTTTGGGTATTTTCTACTGAGAAAAAAAAAATCGAAAAATATAACTAAAGGAAGGAGCGCTCTTGTACCATTGTTTTGATTTTTATAGATTTTAGTTAATAATGCGTATGAACTCGTAAAACAAAATACAATAAAATATTGACGATTTTTCTATTTCATATATTTAGACTTCACCTCCATTATCTGTACGTCGGCAACCTGAACAGCCAATAATTCCACAAACACAAAAAACTTCACGATCATCATCTGCTACTGCTACAACAATCATGACAACTGCTTCAATAAATAATTCTACACCAACTATACGCCGACAAATACTTAATGGTACAGGTTTATTTTCAGCTTTTCATGATTCTAAATATTATCAATGTAATATATGTAAATTTAAAAGTGTCACAAGGTAAATTTTAATAATAATTTTGTAAAATATTCTATAGAATAATACATATTTCTATTTTAAGTTCAACTTTACTTCAACATCTATTTACACATATGTTTTTCTGTGATCAATGTTCATTTTATACATATTCACATTATAATCTCACTCAACATATGTTTGAAAAACATATTGTAAATGTACATGAAAATACAAATGATTCTGTAACTCCAAAATCTTATGATCTACTTTATGTAACACGTTGTTCTGATGGTACATTTGCTTTATGTATGGATTCATCATTAACAAAAACAAACAAAACAAATAATAATAATAATAATAATAATGATCAACGATTAATAATATCATCAGCAATACTTAATGATCAACATACAAATAAAATATCAAAGAAAAAAGTCTCTAAACAAAAAGATTTATTTAATGAAGATGATAATGATATTTTAGTTTTATCAGATAAATCTGATATAAATCATCAATCATTAATCAATTCAAAAGGGAAAGAAAAATCAAATCAAACATATGTGATAATGAAACATCGACGATGTTATTTAATGAAAAAAACATATCGTTTACATTCATTAACAGTAGAATATAATATATGTCGAGAACATACTATACGACAAATGTGTCATACACAAGATATATTAAAACGAAGAAAATTTTTAACAAAATTTAATCAGATACAATTTATTGATGAAATTGCTAATTGTTTACGTACAATTGTTAATCACATTATTGATAGTGAAGATAACAGGTTAGCATTAGAAACGAAAAAAAAAAATGCAATTATTAAACAAAGAATTTGTTTTGAAAAAAAAACTTTTAGTACGGCGAAAAATTTTAAATATTTGTTGAAAGTAGTTTTTAAAAATATATTAAAAGGTACAAGTGCAAAGAGAGAAACAGACCGAGAAGAAAAGAAAAATTTCAAGGACGAAAAAATAACTGTAAAGATACGTATGTGTTAGAACATCTATTAATAGCAGCATGTTATGTCTTTAGTAATCGTACAAATCTAACACTGATTACACCATTGACAGAAGATAAAATAATAAAAAACTTCTCAAGGATATACCTTTGATAATTGAATATCTTTTAATATTAAATGACAAAAAAACTTTGATAAGACAGCCTTTGTCATTTCTACAACTTTAATGAAAACTTATGTTTTCTTTAAAAATATGCCAATGATTTTATTGTGCATTCCTGCAAGCATACCATCTTTTACCAAATCATCCATCTAATAAAGTCGATCGATTAATACGTTTTAGTAATAATTAAAACTTTTAAATATTTACACTCGAATCAACAATATAGAAAAGATTGTATAAAAAAAAAATAAGAACTTAAATTTAATTTTAGTGATCAATCATCGCCTCTATGTACATTACCAAATCATGTTCTTAGTTCAATATTTTCTACTGACAATTTAGATATTTTAACTAATTCATTAAAATTAAATAATAAATATGATCAATATAAAGAACAAGATCAATTGTATGAAAGTGAACATGTTTTACGTCAAAGTCGTAAACATATATTTATATTATCATCTGCAGACAGAAATCATAATGATCAATCAATAATTTCTTCATTACATTCATCGTTAACAAATGGTGATTCCATATTTACACAAACGAAAATTGATAAATTACCTAATACACAAGATAATACTCATCGATATTTAAAAGGAAATCTTAGTAAGTAACGAATTTTCAAATTTTAAAAACAAGAAAAAAATTTATATGTTTCTCAGATGTGTCATCACTATTAAATAATCCCAATCCAAAAGTTCAGAAAAAAGTTAACACAACTCAATCATCACCTTCAAGTAAAAGATAACAAGAATTCTGTTTAAAAATGAAATATCATATCTTTTAGAACTTGTTCCACTTCGTACTGTTATGCCAAAACCTACATGTCTATCATCAAATCATCCATCATTACCAACAATAATTGATAGAAATAATAATTCAGTTACATCTGTAAAATCGAAAATATCTACAACAAAAATGCCGAGTATTATTGTTCTTGACTAAAAAATATTTTCTTTTCTTTTCTTTTCTTTCTTTTATTTACTTTTTTCATTTTTCAAAATGTTGCCTATCTTTTTCTTTTCTTTCTTTTGTTTTGTTTTTTTTCATACTCATGTATGTATTAAAGTATTTTAATGTGCAAACTATTTTGCTCAACAACACAAAAAAACTGCAATCTATAGAAGATCAAAAAAAAAACACAAAAAGAAATTAAATTGATTCTATTAGAAATTATTTCTTCTTTTCTTTTTTCTGAATTTCGTTACTCTGATTTCTTCTTGTAAATAATATAGTAGCACATATGAAAAAAAAAGACAAATGAAATTATTATTTAATCGCATAATATGATACATCAGAAGGTTTTCATAAATTAGCTAATGAAATATGTAAGCATTGAAAATGATTGGTAGTTACTAAGTTTCGTTCGAAATATTTGGAGCTATTCTATATTTTGAATAGTTTTCAAATTAATAATTTAAAGATATAACCACCTCAACTCATCCTTTTAGGAGTTCTTCAAGGAAAACACTCTCTGCAATTGTTTATAGCTGAATCCGAAAATCGTAAGCGTGTACCGACACAGTACTGCGAACAAAAGTACAACATGGTAAGTGAATCAAAAATATATTTTGGGATATTGGCGTAGGGTTTGTGCGTGTGAGTGTTGGTAAGACTATTGATGAGAAGAAGATTCACATCCATACCCATCTTTCTCTTCTCTGACTCATCTTTAACTTTGATTAAGTCATATTCAATTTCTGTTTGTATTTTGAAAGATTCAATAAGGTTCTCTTCTATGCGATATTTATAAACTCTGCTTAGTAATTTCAATTGTGAAATGCTAAGTAGTTCTACCAATAGCTTATAAACTAATTTTTTCCACGAGGAGGAGAAGAGCTTGTGTATGTTCAACTACAGCACCAAGTAACAGAACTTTTATTCCATATGAATTCTTCATCCAAGCTTTTATTCCTCGTTCTCTTTCAAGTTGATGTCATTTAATTTCATAAAAATGATGAAGTGATTAAATGTTAAAAGCTCCAGCAATTCCAATACGATTCAGTTTTTTTTCTCAGTTTAATTATTATCCATTTCAAAATAGAATGTGTTCCACTGTTTTTTGAATAACTTGAGAACGCAAGCAGCTAGAAATCTGCGGTTTTCGCCAATCGAAAGAGAAGACGAGGGCACGTCTTTTTCTCTAACATTGCATACGACGAAATCCTTTTAAAACTCATTATCTTTGAGAAACATGCAAAAGAATGCATGAAAGTGACCTGCCATCTAAATGAAATTTTGATTTTGACCTTCGATTTAGATAGAGGAAC